GGGCTGCTGCTGAGGGCTGTACGCGCGGGCTCCTGAGCGGGTGTGTAAAAGGGGACGCCCTTGGCGGGCTGGTTGACTGGCATGGTGGGGGTGTTGTTGGTGATGATCTGTGGTGTTGAGGGGTTGCTTGGCTGATCTGATCTGAGGGGTAGGACGCTTCTCAACCATCTATTTGTTTGTCTAGGTTTGGGAAAAGGAACACCGAAATCTGAATGCTTTGGACCCTCCAGGTCATCCCCTTCAACTTTCTTGGAGCAAGAATGCCTTTAAACCAAGTCTGTCGAGGTTGATTAATCAGCCATTGAGGAGTTCCGTCGATCCTGTCACATCCTCCAGCAGTCGCACCCGCCCGATCTCAGAGAACAAGCACGTCATGGGGATCGCACTTGCCTGACCTGCGACACCTTGACCCAGCAAGAAGAATAATAAAAAAATCACTATTGCTTCATGACCCTCGCGATGGAAATCCGCGCTGTGCCCATGTCTCGCTGTAACATGAACAGTACAAACACTTGTGATTCCATCAGCCTATTCAGCCCTGCTGCCAGCGAGACCACATTCTCCAGTACGCTGATTCCGAACCACCGCCGTTGAGACGACAGGCGTGCATCAGATCGCAGCGAGTCCCAGAGCAGACACGTATCCCCAAGTTTCTGCGGACCGGCGATTTCTAGTCTGACTCGGGGTTCGGAAAGTGACATCATTGATACTAGCTGGGCTAGGACCGAGGGCCACGGAACGAAATAATGCATTCACCATGATGTATCCATGAGCTGTTCAACAGCCAAAGGAGTTTCTTCTCCTGAAAAGGAACTTCTCCTGAAGTACAACACTGTTCACACATCCAGGGAAAGGGGCGTGTATGTGCCCTAACGTTACATCGGCATCAGCGACAGAAACAGCACGACACGGTATGCTATACACAACATCACGGGGGCACGAAATCAATAGGGTTAAAATCGATCATTAGACGTAGCCCGTTAAGGGGCTCTCATTCTAGTCTACCGACCGAAGTGTCAAAGCGCCATCTGTTGAATGCACTTTTTCTTTTGCCAAACCGCGCCTGTTCTGAGGCTGGTTGGTCCCGATACCACTTGCAACGCCCGTGGAGATGGTTGAAAACGAACGCCAATGTTGAATGTTGCCGAAAAGGGGCCCCCTTGCCCCCGGCTTTTCCGAATCTCCCATGGGTATTGCCTCGTTCAAGGTCTGTTGAAAAGACCGCTCATCAAAATCGCTGATAAAAACCAACCTTGTTTCCCGTTCCCGTCCCTCATTAACCGGAGCGCGCCGCCCTTGCTTCCGAAGCGTGCCGCGCTCATAATACACATAGCACCCCGTGACGAGGCGCTTAGGCCTTGTCGGCGTACTTCTCGCGGAAGAACTTGGCGGCGTTGACCAGGTTGGTCAGCGCCGTCTTGGTCTCCTTCCACTGGCGCGTCTTGAGACCGCAGTCGGGGTTGATCCAGAGCTGCTCGGGGCGGAGACCGTTGGTGATCATCTCCTCGATGCGCGTCTTGATCTCCTCCTCCGAGGGGACACGGGGGGAGTGGATGTCGTAGACACCGGGGCCGATCTGGCGGGGGTACGCCTCACGGTCAAACACCTGCAGCAGCTTGGCGTCCGACTTGCTGTTCTCGATGGACAGCACATCGGCGTCGAGCGCGGCAATGGCGTGGAAGAAGTCCTGGAACTCCGAGTAGCAGAAGTGCGAGTGGATCTGGGTCGAATCGGCAATGCCGGCCGTCGACAGCTTGAACGAGTCGACGGCCCACTCGAGGTAGGCCTCGCGCTCCTTGCCGCTGCGGAGAGGGAGACCCTCACGCAGGGCGGGCTCGTCCACCTGGATGACGAAGATGCGGCGGGAATCCACCACATTTG